TCGCCCAAGCACCAAACTCGAGCTCGAGTGGATCCCCGCTACAAGATAAATTTACAGCGATTTCGAGTATCAGCTGTCTGTGGCGCTGCTGGGTTGCACTCGCAACTCAGCAACCAATACTCGTGCCAGTTTTAAGAAGAATTCAGAGCGCGACAGGGCGCGCTGATCAAGTAAAGTGCTGCACCGGAGCCTTCTTTGGACCAGACAGTCTTGTCTCTGCCAGAGCCCTGAGCAATGAATCACGGCCGATTCTCGTGGTGCACCTTGTGATTCCATGCAACAGGCTTCAGCACCACCGCTAAGTTCCTTCATAACACACAAGGAAAGGCGGGCGGCATCCAATCAACAAGGATAACGTCCACGCCCGAGCTCTGCGCACTGGCGTAGGTAGACCGCGTGCGTCGCGCTGCACGAAGCCAGCCACTCAGAGTAAACTGTACGGGAGCGTGTCGACGGTGTTGGCCTCGTTTTATCCTTTTCTGTTTTCAGATTCGGGTGGCATTCCACAACTTACCCGGTACCCCCAAAGCTGCCTCGTGCGCTTTCGCTACACAGCAGCAATGGCAGTCCAGCCTGAGGTCTTCCCTCTAAAGATCCAGCACTCAAAGCCGCGAGCTACTAAATCCCCACGCGGACTTCGAAAGCGTTCAAGCTTCCGTCGCAAGTCACAGCCTGTTGTAGTGGAGCTACCAGAGGATGTTCGTGTCCTCAAGCAGAAGATCATCGAGTCACACCCGATCAAGTTGCTCCGCTTCAGTTTAAGCCACATGCGCCACATGGCCACTCCACCCGTACTCATCCCAGAGTCCCTCAACGACCGACGAGCCATGCGGACGCTCGTGTCCGGCAAGACTGTGCCACTTACCATGCATATGTGGGAGAACTGCAAGATGAAGACCAAGCACTTGGACATGATCGATGAGTACGTCACCTACCGGTGATCGAAGCTCGACAGTGTCCGTTCCAGCAAAGTCTCTCGCCGCTGTCAGCGCCGAGCAAGTTCAGCCACTCCGCCCAAAGCCCAAAACGCACTCTAATTCGCCAAGTAGCCTAAGTTTGAACGCGATACTGTATTCAGTGTCACGCAGTATTTATTCACCCAAGTACCGTTGTAACTAACAATCCATGTGCCATTTTCTTCAGTCGATATTCACCAAGCAGCCCTGTAGACGTAAGATCTGCAGCACTGAGTGCCTTCACTTCCAGTCTCTCAGTCTGTACCATTCAGATTCTAGAGCATCTTTAATTTAGGATTAAAAGCAGCAGTTTCCTTAATTTAGGCATCCTCAAAATGCTTTGTGCAACTTCAGCCCCAGTCCCTCTTAAAATCGCTATCTTCGAACACCTCAACCAATCCCCATGATAGGACGACCGATTATGCTTGGTAATCCCTCCGATTGGATGTCCGGCCAGGAGTCACATGTTTGTTTTGCCATCGAATCGACCTGATTAGACTGGCGAGTGGCACCGGCACATGACGTTTCTTGTGGTTGACGTTGACACAGACGCCCAAGCAGCGATGGCAACCTCACTTTGGAATTGCCCGCGCTCAGCACAAGCTCTTTAAACTCATTTAACAGATCGACATGGGTCTTTTACCTCCTCGTAAGAAGTCGAACCTGCTCTTCAAGCCTCGTACTAGTGCAAGCAAGAGCCCCAAAGAGGACTCGCTCAATGCGACGCCTTTGCCATA